TATTCTAATGTCATATTTCTATTGGGGTGAATGAATGTTAAAAACAGGAGTTTCAAGCATCTAAAAGTGAAGGTGTAGACAGAAGAACTAAAGTGTAAGAGGAGAGGAAGGAAGCACTATGATTTCTACTTAACACATGGCCATTCAGGCTATTCAAGACGTAACAGGGTTTTAGATCACCCATAAATATGAAAGCATGATGGGGAAAGGGGCCCAAGGGTATGGCAGTGGGATGCAGACATCTCTTTACCTAACCCTGCCTTTGCTGTCAGAGTGCTTTCTACCAGGGAAGGCTTCTTTTCTCCAGCAGCAAAGCTTCTTAATGAAAGCAGTTTGGATATGGAAACATATGCTCATTTGCAATCTCAAAAAACAGAGTGGACATAAAATACAGTACTAGTATTATTTTCCTACTGCTTCAGCATGAAAAAAAATTGTTACTTTTGAAGTTTAACTGCTTCAGAATCAAAAGGGCCGAAAAACATAATTATTGACACATAAAAAGGAGAAATTCCTAACAACCTGTATTAATCAGGTTCTGCTAGCAGTTGTAACTAATCACGTCCAAATCTTGGGGCTTTAGAAAAGGTTTCTTTCTCTCCTCACAGTGCAGTGCAGGTCTCTGCTGTGGTGGGTCGGCAGGGCAGTTCTCTATAGTCATTCAGGCTTCTTACACCTTGAGGTTCTGTCATCTTTCAGTACCCTAGAGTCCTCCTAGGTCCCCTGCATCTGGCTGGCAGAGAGGCAGGGAGAGGGAGGGAGTGGAGGATCAAGCATGGCAGCAGTGTACATTGTTCCCTCCCATATTCTTCTGGCCTAACTGCAAGGGAGACTGGGAAATATAATTTAGCTGTGTGCTCAGAAAGAACAGGAGGCAGGTTTGCTGAGTATTCATCCAGTCTCTGTCATGCAATCTAAATTAAAGGTCATATATTAGCAGCATTAGCAGCATGTGAGCTGAATGTTGTCCCAAAGTGTGTTTCCTTTTGGCCCGCATCAAGTGGTTTACAAAGTCAATTTAGTTCAAAAACTTTAATAAGGGAAGATATTGCACATTAAAAAAAAGAGAGACAATCTAGTATTTTTGGTTTCTCTCAAAAAATCCAAAAATCTTGTGGGGCTGTGTTTTCATTTGTCATGAAATGGCTGAAATCAAGTAGCAACTGCCCCTTAGCTTAGGTCTACAGTCTCCAGTTCTTGTCGGGGCTCAGGAAATGATACCCCAGAATATGGTGCTCTGATATGCCGAACTAAAGTGTAATCACCTGATGGGTTCTTCTGTCTGCTGCACAGGCAAAACTAATTCACTGAGACCATGGTATTGCAGTAAAGAAAGAGTTTAATTAATACAAGGCTGATCATGCAGGACAACTGGAGTTAGCATGTGAATCAGCCTCTGCAAAGGCTCAGAGGTTTTTATGGTCAATTTGGTGGGCAGGGGACTAGAGAATGGGTGCTGCTGACTAATTGAGGATGCAATCATAAGAATGTGGAAAATGATCCTTGTGCACTGAGTCTGCCCTCTGGGTGGGTGTGGGGGGTCATGGAACCAGTTGAACGATGAGTCACAAGTCTGGGTGGGGTCAGTCAATTGCCAGAATGCAACAGTCTGTAAAACATCTCAAAAGACCAATCTTAGGTTCTATTATAGTGATCTATAGGAGCAATTGGTCACAAATCTTGTGACCTGGTCATATGACTCCTCAATAGTAAGAGATTGTAGAAACTATGCATACCTTTTAGCAGAATTTGGGATCCTCCCATAATCCTAATCTTGTAGCCTTTCATTAGTCTTACAAAGGCAGTTTCAGCCCCTAAACAAGGAGGGTGCAGTTTAAAAGAGGGAGTATTATCCTTGCTTCAAAGTAAAAATATCAACTAAATTTCTCCCACTATTAGCTTGGCCTATTCCCAGGAATGAGTGAGGACAGCCAGCCTGTGAGGCTAGATTGGGTCAGCCATGCTGGACTTCTCTCACTGTCATGATCTTTGCAAAGGTGGTTTCAAAAGGAGTAGCCTCAACGTCTCTATAATTCTCTTCTCTCCCCCTCAACCCTGCCCTATCTCTCAGCCTTCTGTCTCTCCCAAAGCACCAGATGAGGCTTTTCTCTGACATTCTCTTATCTACTTTAAAAACAGACTTGCCAAAGAGAACACAGTTGCCTTCCATTCCCTCCCTAAAATCCAGAAAAGAAGATTGAGAAATGCAATCACACTTGGAGAGACTTTTACCCAAAATAATGACTGCCCCTCTGGCTCATTCAAATTACAAAGAGAATCATTTACAGGTTAATTTCTGTCTTCCAGGTACATTACTATTCCTTAAAATTGTTATGCTTCATCTCTACTTCCCCTAGGAAGACGGGCACATAAACATCTAGACCTCATTGGGTTACTGAGCAATTATTCTGCAATTTCCATGTGCTATGCATGTTGAATAAGAGTATGTCTTTTCTCTTATTAATCTGTTTATTGTCAGTTCATTTTCAGCAAACCTTCAGAGGGTAGAAGGGAAGCTTTCCTCTGGCCCCTGCCGCCTGAAGCCTGTTTCACTCACTCATCTACCTGGCCTTTGAAAGTGCTTACACTTGCAATCTCTGGTCTGCATGAAGATTTGTTCTTTTTTATAGTTTCGATCTTGTCATTAATATGTTAATACTAACAATCGGCTGCTATGGATTGATTCAGTTTGTAACTGTTAGATTATGTTTTAGATCATAGTGAAAACAAATTGCCAACCCTGAAACTTTTTCGGTAGAAGTAATGGCTAGTCTCCAATGGTGAATGAATTGAGATGTTTTCCTTTTAGCCTAATTGTTTGTTTAGTCATAATTCATATTCTGAACTAAAATGGTAATCTATCAGAAATACTATTGAATGTGAACATTTTCCTTTTTTCTTCCTAGGATTAATAATGTTAGCTGGGCTTGTAATTTTAAGATCCTTTTTATGGACAAAGATCTTAAGTAAACAGAATGATCCTTGGGTTGACAGCAGAACAGTTAATAGAGATGTACTCTAATTCATTGCTGTTGACCATTGGTTGTTTGCGGAATGGGATCAGGTGGATTTAGCATGACTATTAAAATAATCAACTTAAATAAAAGGCACATACCAGTATAATTCCCTTGTGGTTCTTTTAGTTGGACTTGAAACTGTTCCACGACTGAAATTTGGAAAATCAAGCTATATTGAAAGTGGAGGGAGGAATGGCTGGTTGAATTTAAATGACAGATTTAATTGTTTTGTTTGGTTGGAGACCACTGTCTATAAATATCTAAAAGTTTAGTGTTAGACGTTTGTATGCTATTCTAAAAAGAAGGAAATAGATGATCAAACTTACAGTGAACAAATTATTTGCAAGCCTTTTAACACCCTAGAAAGGCAAAGAAAATAAATGCAAACACACCTAAGGGCAATTAATACTCACAAAATGAAAATACATTATATTGACAGCTTTATCTTTTTTGTTTGCTTTTTTTTTAAATTGTACTTTAGGTTCTGGGGTGGATGTGCAGATCCTGCAGGATTGTTGCATGGGTACATACATGGCAAGGTGGTTTTCTGCCTCCACCCCCCGTCACCTGTATCTGGCATTTGTCCCCATGAGCAAAGCTTGACGTATTATTTTTAAAAATCACCTGAGGGTATTTTAATATTTCTGGCAAAATTACTTATGCTCACAATGGCAGCCTTTCTGGCACTTTTCAGTTTACATGTTTGGATTTTTAGTCATGTCTTGCTTAACTATGGGAACACGTTCTGAGAAATGCGTCATTAGGTGGCTTTGTCGTGTGAACCTCATACAGTGTACTGTCACAAACCTAGATGGTATAGCCTACTACCTATCAAAGCTATATGATACAGCATATTGCTCCTAGGCTCCAAACCTGCACAGTATTTTACTATACTGAAAACTGTAGGTAATTGAAACACAATGGTATCCAAATGGCATTTGTGTATCTGAACATGTCTAAACATAGAAAAGGTAAAAATATAGTGTTATTATCTTATGGGATCACCATCATATAATCGGTCTGTCAGTGACCAAAATGTCGTTATGCAGTGCATAACTACATATACAAGTGACATAAATTCTGTGAAGAGAAGTTTTAAGCACATTTGTGAAACAAGCCAACAGAAGCACTTTTTTTATTGTGTATTTGGATGAGGAAAATAAACCTGCTGACATAATTTGCTGACGATTCAGAATTGGCTATCAATAGAATTACAATCTTGGTGAAATTGGAGGGAAAAATATAGGGAGCTCTCCTGTGAGAAAAAATATAAATGGAAAATTGTCACCAAATCACTATTGGTGGTGGGGAGTTAGGGGATTGCCCCTGGGGAAAAATAAGTCATTGGATGATGCGGGCTGAGAGAGACGGACTGAAGAGCGCCGGAGTGCTCCTGACTGACCTACCCAGCCCCAAATCCTCACTCAGCACCAGGAAATGGGAACTGTTATCTCCTTGCCAAGATGGGGAGACTGAGGCCCAGGTGGACTGATAAACTTGGCAAGCTCTACAAGCAAAATAATAGAGGATGTGGGAATTAAAACTCATGGCTACGAGGCACCAAAATCCTCACTGAAAAAAACAGAGTGAGCATAAAGAAATGGTACTCTGAGAGAGAGAGATAGAGAGAGAGAGAGAGAGAGAGAGAGAGAGAGAGAGAGAGAGAGAGAGAGAGAGATTGAAAGGAAGCGGATGGGGAGCCTGGGTTTTAAATGTGATTCATTGACTAGCTGATTGAGAGGAAGTTTCTAAAGGTCCATAGCACAGTGGGCTGAGGGGCACTGCAATTCTTCTCCCTCCAACTCCCAGAGACTAAGTCCAGCAGCGTGGGCTTCAATGAGGGGCACTTTGGTACCAGAAGGATACAGGCTGGACAGATTCCAATAGAGCAATAAAGGGAGCAATGAACGGTAAAGGAAACAGAGATTTATCTGTCAAAGGATGCATGAATCCAAACACTTTCAGCTTGCTTTAATGGGGAGGAGAGGACACAGGATGACAACTCTTTGAAGTGTGTGTTTGCTCTTAAGGAGTGATTAGCTTGTAGCAGGAGTACATCCAGGAATAAAAAGTGATGAAATGTGGACAAGAAACCTCTCAACTGATGGTAGAAAATGGTTTTTGGAAAAATTACAGGGCAACTCCTTGAGGCTCCGATGTTTCTCACTTTCCCTGACTCACTTGTTTTCTGGGAGTCCCAGCGTCTCCTGAAGAAACCCCTTTTCCATTCAGCCGGCAGCTGCAGCAGGTGGCATGGGCCAGGCCAGCCCTCTGGGGATGCTGATCCCAGGGAGCATCCAGGCCGGAAGGTCCAAATAGGCAAGTGACTCATTTGCTTTTCCTCCCTTGGTCATATCTATGACTCATACACTTTCTTTCAGTCCCAAGTCTGAGAAAGGAACATCAAAAAGCCTAAGACGTTATCAAATATTTGATGAAAAAGAAAATTCCCCTCTCCTATGATCCTTACAGAAAATATTTACTTAGTGTTTTCATTTTGTTGACATTTCTTTGATTTATCAACATTCAGGAGGTGGAGTGAGAAGGAAGGCTGTAAGTGGGACAAAGAAACGTTAGGATGGCTCAGTCACTGCTGTTCTGAGGGAGTGATCTAAGCTGCTCACCCACAGAGAAAGGGTAAATGGTCCAGCTCTTAACTAATACGAATGTTCATTGTAGCAATGTTTACAGTAACAAAGACCTGGAACCAACTCAAATGCCCATTAATGATAGACTGGATAGGGAAAATGTGGCACATATACACCATAGAATACTATGCAGCCATAAAAAACTGAGTTTGTGTCCTTTGTAGGGACATGGATGAACCTGGAAACCCTCATTCTCAACAAATTGACACAAGAACAGAAAATCAAACACTGCGTGTTCTCACTCATAGGTGGGTGTTGAACAATGAGAACACATGGACCCAGGGAGGGGAGCGTCACACACTGGGGTCTGTGGCGGGGAACTAGGGGAGGGAGAGCAGGGGGTGGGGAGTTGGGGAGGGCTAACATGGGGAGAAATGTCAGATATAGGCGATGGAAAAGAAGGCAGCAAACCATACTGCCATGTATATACCTATGCAACAGTCTTGCATGTTCTTCACATGTACCCCAGAACCTAAAACACAATAAAATATATATTAAAAAAAAAAAGAAAGGACTCTTCCCTTGATTAAGTGAGGAGTATTTGCAGTGCTGTATTTGTAAGCACATGGTGCCTGTGTATAGATGGCTGAGAGACAGGATAAAGGGGTGGGTGATTTAAAAGCTTCACCTTTGGTATCAGATGGATCTGGAGTGGAATCATGGATCTGTCAGTTATTAGCTGTGCAACCTCCAGCAAGCTCCATGAGTGCCCTGAGGCTCAGCGTTCAGATCTATAAAATAACAATTATAAAATAGTAACAGCAATGATAATGTCAACATGTCTATCATTGATTGAGCTTCTACTCTGTACCAGACATTGATCTATGGATTTTACATATATTATCTCATTTAATCTTTCCAACAAGCCAAGATATGGGTAGTACTGTTGTCCTCACTTTACAGGTGTGGAAGCCGAGTTGCTGAGAGCTGAAGGAACTTGCCTAAGGTCACTCGATTAGAAAGGGCCAGAGACAGCAAAATAGCTGCCTCCTCGGCTTGTTGTGAGGCTTACTTAAGGTAAAGCAGCTAAAGAGATTAGTTCCTTGTAAATGTGTATATGCTTAATTTTTTTTCAAACTAAAGACAAGGAAGGGAGAATTCCTTTTCTAATTGTCCCAATTGCTCTCTCCTTTTTTAAAATAAACAAGTGATTCTCTCTGCTATCAACATCTTATGCATAAGTAGTTTACAATATTCTTTATTTTTTAACACAAAGTTTTCAAAATTCATAGAGATGAAAGAGTTGTGAGCAACATCTGATACTAGGCTAGGACGTATCTCTCCACTTTATTCAAGAAACTGCTCTATTCTTTCAATCAACTAAAATAAACTTGTGAAGACCATTGGACGCTTACCTTCAGTGAACATGTTCACATATCTAGGGGCATACTTCAGAGTAAAATATTAGGTCTTCTCTACATACACATCACACAAACGTGCATGCATGCACAGACACAGCGCTACTCAGATGTTCAGACTGCCTTTGAAGGTGGTGTTGAGCAGAGCCATCTTACCTAGTAGTGTTGCTATTCATCTTGGTTGGTGTATTAGACTGTTCAGGTTACGGTAACAAAATACCATAGACTGGTAGCTTAAGCAATAGAAACTCACTTTCTCACAGCTCTGGAGCTGAAAAGTCTAAGATCAAGGTGCTGGCCAATTTGGTTTCTGCTGAGGTGAGGACTCGCTTCATGGTTTTCAGACGTCCATCTCCTTATGTCCTCATCCACCTTCTCACAATGTGGCCTTTCCTTAACACATGTATGTAGAGATCTTTCTCTCTCTCTCTTCCTCTTCGTATAAGGCCACCAGTCCTATCAGATTAAGACCTACTCTAACGACTCCATTCAGTCTTAATCACTTTCTAAAAGCCCTGTCTCTGAATACAGTCACATTAGGATGTAGGGCTTCAATATATGAATTTTTAGCTTACGCAGTTCAGTGTATTGAAATTGGCTGAGGCTGGATTGTTTTTTATGCTGGGGCCTATGTATCTCAGAGACTCATTTATGAATCATTTAAATTTTCCATGTGGTTATATTTAGAACAGTAATTCCCAAAGGGCTGTGAATCAGGTGTTTATTGTAGTACATGAACAAATGAAATGTAACAGAAAAGACTCTCTTGGTAAAGCAGTCTTGGAATAGAGGGTAGTGGGGTTCTTTCTAAAAATAAGTCTTGGTGGCTGTTGTGTTGCTAATACTGAGGGCATTTTAAAACATAAACAGGGGCCTAAAAGTAAAAGCTAGATCTGGAAAGGAAGGGGGCCTTTCCTTTCATTCTGCAGAAGGAACACATTCTTTCCAAGTGCTTTGCATAATTTCCTATGTTGCTTTCATGTTAAAGAAAACACGTAGGTATTTTGGATAACTGTGTAGACCAAGCTTTCATATCATCTCAGAAATATCACTGGGGCTGAATTGGTTAATTTAAGAAGGCTTGTTAACTTTTCTTTCATGTGTAATTAAAACTGGAAATATGAACGTGCTATTTTCTTTCTTTCAGACTTTATTACCTTCTCCCTTTGGACGTCGGCAGGTTCAAGTGGTGTATGTATGTATGTCTGTATGTGGGTGGAGCTGGGGGAGTGGGAGATGGGAGGGGTTGAAAAAAATTAGGATTTTTTTTCCATTGTAAAAGCTCAGGTAACATTCAGCTTCTGGTGCTCATTATGGGGCCTATTTATAAGGCTATTGTCCTGAGAGAGGATTTTTCCAGAATAAATTTAAATCTCTCCTTCAAGAAACCGAAGGCCAAGACTGCAGACCCTGTTGGTTCTCCCCACAGAGTAGAGAAGCCTCATCCTTCTCAGGACAGTAAGGCTATGGCTTCATGGCAGAAGGGTAGGTAATAAGTTTCACTCTATCTGGAGTAGGAGACCATGATTCTCCCTGATTGGGGCAGGGGAGACAAGAACCAAATTAAAAGGCCTTTGTGACCATGGATGTATTTGAACAAGTGGAAAGAACACTGAGGACAGAGACAGCTCTGGCTCCCAGTTTCCCTTTAGAACTAACTTTCCAGTTGTCGCTACACCAGCTTGGTCAGGCAAGGGGAGGCACTGAGGTTTTGTGTCTAGGTTTCTGGATGATAAGGAGAAGCCTGTGAGTCTCCCAGGGCCCTTTGTGGTGGCACTGGGGGCTCCCAAAGAGGAGGCTAGGCTTGGATAGAAGACGTCATGGATACTCATGTATCTCTGGCTCTGCACCAGGCCCTGGCCAGCATGAGGGAGAGACCAGAACACCAGTTCACAAGCACCACAATCCCCCAGGTGGGCAAGGATCTCTGTGCCAGAGATTCCAGCAGGCAGAGGACTCCCCCTGCACCCCTAGAAGGTCATGGAACCCTTAAGCCACAACTGCCTTCTCCTCTCCCTCTTTTCCATTCATCACCTTAGGGGGAAAAACAGATGGGGAGGGAGAGTGGTGGGAACAGGAAGGGAAGGAGGAAGCCTACTGGAAGGCTGAAAATTTGTGCCAAGAAATAATTATTACTCAAAGTCATGGTCTAAATGATAAGTTAAGGCTAGGTCTGAAAGCAGATAGACCTAAATGTTAAAAAATTTAAGCTGTGCAACAGAAATGGATATCTTGTCAGATTAGTTATAGGAAAAGAAGCCACATCTTACTTTCTATCTAGCTGTGCTTCTGGACTGCAGTGTGAGTGGATTTGGCTTCATTTGCTTCTGTTTTATGCATAGCTAGTGTTTGTTTATGTGTGTGTGTGTGTGTTGTGGTGGTTGTGGTGGGGAAAGGAATAAAATATAGTTTCATTGGAAACATACTCGGTCACACCTGAGTCCCACCAAAATGAAATTTCAGGAAGCATCTGAAAGTATAAATGTATTTGGCAATTATATCAGACTTTTTAGCATTGAATGTCCCACTTCTCACTGGTTCCTCATGGCAGAGTCAAACCAGAGCAACCTAACTAGTGCTTTCTGAACCCAGCAGCCCACCTCCCAAAATGTGATTTGCAAATGTACTGTAAGACAGACTCCACCATCCCCATCCCCATCATTACTCACAGTTAGCAACTGCTAAGCTTACTCTACATTGAGCTCAGTATTCTCTACTAAATGCTTTACACAATGATGTTATTGAGTCTTTGCTGCAACCGTACTAATATTATCCCCATTTTTAAAGATGAGAGAACAGAGGCTTACAGATAAAGTAAGTATTTAGGCCAAGATTCAAGGCTGTGCATTAATAGTTCCAAAGCCTATGCATGTTTTTTTCCATTCCACTATGCTATTTTCAAGCTTCTTTTGAAGATGACACTTCCTTTTTGCGGGGGGAGACAGAGTCTCATTCTGTCACCTAAGATGGAGTGCAATGGCACAATCTCGGCCCAATGCAACCTCCGCCTCCTGGGTTCAAGCAATTCTCCTGCCTCAGCCTCCCCAGTAGCTGGGATTACAGACACACACCACCATGCCCAGCTAATTTTTGTATTTTTAGTAGAGATGGGGTTTCACCATGTTGGGCAGGATGGTCTCGATCTCATGGCCTTTTGATCCATCCTCCTCAGCCTCCCAAAGTGCTGGGATTACAGGTGTGAGCCACGGCACCCAGCCGAAGATGACACTTTTAGAGAACTTTTTGGTATCTCTGAAGTTCAAGTTTCGGGCTTTCCATTTTCTAGGTTCTGTGTTGATGTGGCTCCAAGCCAGCAGTGTACGGTACAGGAGAAACCTTTGTCACCTCATCTTCTCAGGGCCCTGCTGCAGTCTAGCATCTCCCTACCGTCTCTCTGCTTCAAGATCCATGGAGTTATATTTTAGTATTTTCTGATATAGTTTTCTTTATTTCGGTTGGTTAAGTATCAAATTTCTTGTCTAATATCCTGAAGCACTTCTCTCTACCTCCTATTTTTATCCATCTCTAGGTATAAAGTTTTTTTGATAAAGAAAAGTGTCATTAGACACTACCTTCTCTTTAACCAAATGTTTTCCAGTACTTTAATAAAGTTTCTGTCTGGGAATATTTTACAAATTTCAAATGGGATAATTGATTAAAAATATATGCAATCCAGCAAAGAGACAGCAAATACCAATAACTCCCTTCACTTGGTTTGGCCAAGTTGCTCACCCGGGATGAAGTAGAAATACACCAAAATAATACGTTTAGAAAAACGTCTGGACTCTCAGAACCCCAGTGCTTCCAGACAAACACTGACAGCTTTAGCTTTTCCTACTTCCAAGGCAAAGCGTTTTGCTCTTGAATCTCAGCTTTACAGGTTTCTTTTACCTTTGTCAACCTAAGTTTTCCAAATTTGTTAACCTCTTTTAAACACATGCCATGTACAGTAGCACTTCCTGGCCAGCAGGCCCATCTTGTTCCCCAGCTCACTGTGCAGACCTTAATCATTCTTTAAATCCCAGATCCTAGTCCCCTCTTCCATGAATCTTCCCACACCTCTTCAGCTCCCACTCATTTCCCTTTCTTGGGAATCCTACAACATTCCTGAAGTGAACCATTACTTTTGGTATTTAATTGTGTACTGCCTGGAACTATTATTTATTATTTGCATATAGATATATCTTCTCTTTCCAGTGACAAAACCATTCCTTACATGGAGGTAATTTTGTTTTGCCGCATATAAATCCCTGCAGAATGACAACTAGCAGACATTTAATAAATGCCTATTGGATGGATGAAGGCACTTTGTCTCAAGGGGATAACCCTAGAGTTGAGTTGACTCAGAAGAAAATGCAGCTCACTGGAATGCT